ATCAAATACAGCGGTTGCTAGTTTCGTGCACGTTCACTCGGAATCCTGGTTTGCCGAAGTCAATATCAGTATGAGCTGTTATAAGTATCGTTCACTTGTGGTGGCTGTATTTGCAAGCACTGTACGCTATGCGCTGGTGTTCGTTCATCTCCCGTTTTTAATGTGAGCAGGCTTAAAGTCACAAAATCAGCATCGTTTGCCAATCTCTGATACACACATATGTATGAACTCATTGGTTCAACTGTTTTTGATATTCGTAGATGGTTTAGGCATAGGTTTAGTAGTCTATTAATTAAATAAAAGCAAGGCGAAAATTAAAAAAAAAATACTGAAATCATTTTAATTGGGACCGCTGATAACTGCAAGTTCGTGTAAAAACCTGTAAGTTCATTGAGTACTGGATCAGAGCTAATACAAGATTGCACAAAGAGAAGACGAGACTAAGAGGGAATGCCTACGGTGACCATCCGTCCTTTATTTTAAGGGACAGTCCTTTATTTTAACCCCCTGTCCTTTATAACTTTTTTCAAAATAAAGGACGCCTTTCGTCCTTTATTTCTTAAACTGTCCTTTAAATCGGCTCTGCATTTTTCAGAGGTATTTTTTAACGGAGAATATAAAAAATAAAAATGTCCCTTATAAAGTATAATGAAAACCTTCCCCAGTTTGTTTCGCACCTCACTTAAGGGTTTCTATTTAATCGGTTATCTTTCTACAATCTATAAAGCACAGGGAAAGTTGTGCCCAGGAAGGTGTTGCACGCTGAGTTTCCAGTTCTACTGAAAGAGAACAATAAACCCTCTGCTGCTTAGTGGTTCAAAACTGGCATTTAGTGTTCGTAATTCACTGTTAAGCCTGATTTTTGAATTTTTATTTGATTATACTAAACTTTTTTGTGCAAAATGCAGAAAAAGTAACAATTTTGAAGAAAATGTACTCTCCTGTTCCAGTTAATAAATATTACATAACAAAAACTAGTTGAAAACAATTGTACGGTTCTTCCAAAACAAAGAAAAATACACAAAAAAAATTTTGAAATGTTATAAAAAATGTTCACCAAACTAAATAGTTTTTTGTTTGCTTTTTAGTAAAAATTGGTTGAAAAATGAAGGTTTCGGTGGATTATGAACATTAAATTCCAAATTTTGAACCACTGTGTGCTGGGGCCCTATTCTGTAACAGTGAGAAAAGGAAAAATGTACACTGATCTAAAACTCATTTACACAGGCAGTGTGCACCGTGAATTTTCATGCGATTCTGTAAACTAAAGTGTACACTGTTGTGCTGAATGAACGCTGAATAACATTTGACAAGGAGAAGAAGGAGGTAAATATACGGTTTCTACTTCCGTGACTTCAATTATAACTACTTTATGTATGTACATAGGAATACAATGATGAAAAATCGAAGGTACCTACGTGACACTCAAGACCCATTCGCAGTCAGTGAAGAGCGATTTAAAGAGCTTTATCGCTTTCCCAAACCAATTTTTTTTGAGTTATACGAAAAACTAAAGCCCCGTTTTCGAGAGTCAATGCGAAGCACATCGATTCCATCGCATTTCAGATTGCTCTCGGCGCTTCGTTTCTTCGCAACAGAAAGCTACCAAAGTTGTATTGGTCAGGACTTCCTCGCATGCTCATCCCAAAGCTCTGCAAGTCGCTGTGACGATGAGGTGACAGAAATGCCAAATGTGGTCCAAAATGAGTATGTAGTTTTCCCCAGTGCAGCTGATGAAGCCATCGTAAAGAGTCAATTCTATGAAGTGTGTGGCTTTCCGGGAATTTTGGGTGTGATGGACGGCAGCCATATTAAGATTGTGGCTCCGAAAGCTGATAATGAAAGCGCCTATTACTGTCGGAAAGGTATTTTTTTTTATCAATTTGGATAGTAATTAAATATATTTAACTTATTTAATTATTAGGAGGACACTCTATTAACTTGTTGTTAATCTGCGATTCAAAGTATACAATAAGATATGCGAACGCCAAATTTCCGGGAACATCTCATGACTCTTATATATGGCGCTGTACACAACTACAAAATTATTTAAAAGAAAAATATTTAAGAGGAGAACGAAACTTCTGGTTATTAGGCGACAGTGGATTCGTTCTCCAGCCCTGGTTAATGACACCAATTTCCGAAGCATCAAATGCTGCAGAAGAGCGCTATAACATAGCACATAAAAATACTCGATGTATTGTTGAACGTTGTATAAGAGTATTGAAAGCACGTTTTCGTTGTCTTTCTTACGAAAGGTGTTTATACTATCAGGGAAAATAATTAATGCATGCATTGTGTTGCACATTTTAATAAAAGCAAACGTTCCGATAATTGAAGCCTTAACTGATGAGAGTGAAATACGTGAAGAAGGTTCTACAACGGGTCAGACTGCAATACAAAACCAAGCCAGATCTATACGATTACAAATAGTAAACCCGTATTTTAACCATTAATTAAAAAAACAATATTTTCGTTTCAAATAAATTTTGATGCACATGTAATTCAGTGTTCCTTCTTTTCAAATAAATAATTAGTTTAGTATGTACAAAATGCTAAGTATTTAGTAAGTATATAAAGTTAAAAAAACATTGTGGTGGTTTATTATAATTGAATATGTACAAAGTTAAAAATGAATTAAATTCATTTGATTCTATTACTATTATTACACTGTGGAACAAATTCAGGTTAGCAAAAGTTAGGTCGATTCTGAGAGTGAGGGGTGAAAATAGAGGCTAAATTAGAAGACCCGTATCGCGGCGTTTGTTTATGATAGTTCGAATTTTTTTTTAATCGACCTTCGAACTTTGCAGTCAAATGCCGATTTTCAGCATATTGTTTTTATGGTTTTTTGGCTATAACTCGTCGACTAATTGATATTTGTTCAATCTGTTAAAGCCAAATTATTGCTAGAGACCTGTGCAACAATTAAAATTAAAAAAAAAAATTGATTTAGAAAATTTTTGTAGTGCTTATGAAGCAAAATGTTGAAAAAATTTTTTTTCATGCTTTTTGAACATATTTTCCACAAAACTAAGTCTTTTTGCTTTCTGTTTGATCTATAATATGCTTTTCAGTTTCTTCAGTAAATTTCATTTGAAAAGAAAACAATCATAATACAAAACTTGCGTTTTCCAGCTTAATATTAATTTACTTCTCATTTCTTATGTACCAAATTTTTCAGTGTTGGTTTTGAAGAAACATTGAAAAAGAAATTATAAAAATATGGAAAAAATATAATTTTGAAATGTTAGTTATGAAAAGTTTTAAGTAAAAAAATTAAATTAATTAAATTAATGATTTGGCCAGTTGCCGTTTAGCAGGCGGCTGTGGATCAACATCACTGCTCTTTCTCATATCTTGGTCATCGTCATCATCATCAGAAAGGTCGATAATTTCGTCCAACAGATATTCTGGAATTTCATCTTTGTTTTCCCCTTCTTCCTCTTTTTCCTCGTCTTCCTCTTCTTCAAAGGTGTTTTTATACCACCAACAAATTTCAGCGAGTATTGCATCTGGAGATTTCTTTCCTTTTGAATAGTGCACTCTGACAAAGATATTAGAGAAATCTAGGAATTCAAAATATGCACACTCTATAGTTACCTTATTTCAAATGGAAGCGCAGTTTGGTGATAACGTTCGCCTTGTTCATCAGATTCAGTTGGCAACTGTTGAGCGAGTTGATCAAGATGCTGATGCAAGAGATGAATTTTGTACGACATATTAACCCCAATTTCATCGAAAGCTGCCAACATGTTTGCAACAGATTGCCTGTAGTTGTCTTTGCGTTCTTTACCCAAAAGTCCTTTAATGACTGCTTTCAATGCGAGCCATCGGCATTTGACTGCAAAGTTCGAAGGTCGATTAAAAAAAAATTCGAACTAACATAAAGAAACGCCGCGATACGGGTCTTC